CTATCTATCTATCTATCTATCTATCTATCTATCTATCTATCTATCTAACATGGAATGTGCCTGAGCTTTAGTGATTCTCTCCCAATTAACTAGTTCTAATGCCATATTAATCTATAAAGATCAAGATAAAGAAGAAAGGACCAGTTGTGTTGATGGGCCTTCAACTATATCCTTGCAAACCTGAAGACACAGACAAATGCTAATTTTAATTTCCAATTAATAAACAGTTTGTTAATGGAAACAAGAACAAAATCTCATCTGTGACTTCTACATCATCAGAAATAAAGTCCCTAAATAAGTTGGTTAAGTTGTCATTTTCCATATAACATCACCATTACGACTCTATTATACTCTAAGAATATATACCACAATTCTTAGCACTTAAAAGTTAAAAAATGAAAGACATTAAGAAGCAAAATTGTTCACATACCTAAAGGCCTCAATGATATATGCATTAGCTGGTAGGCTTCCAGGGCTGCCTGGTTGCCAGGACAAGGTGACACTGTTCTTACTGACATCAGTGACCTGAGGTTTGGATGGTGATCCAGGCAGTTCATTTAAATCATAATTTTTACTGATTGTTGCTCCAGACTCTGTAGGGGTCAAATATAAAACAGTTAACTTTCCTTGCTTATTAGATAGTTTTGTTAAAGATATCAAATTTACCCTCCCCACTCTTATACCTTGCTTATGTCACTTTGTCTTTGCCCCTGCCCTAAAATGTATTTTGCACAGTAGTCAATTTGTATTATCTGCCACCTCCTACACATGTTCCATGCATTCCTACCTCAATGCCTTTCCTCACACCACAACCTCAGCTTGACTTTTGACCTTTGCTCAAACGTTAGCTCCTCCATAAGGCATTTCCTGTTCACTGAAGTGGGAAATGATCTTTTCTTCCTCTGAACTCTGTATTTCTCATCATACTCTTAGGATGATAAGATCATAGATCTTGAGTTGGATGGTACCTCAGAGGGCATCTACTCTACCCCTGCCATTTTACAGACGAGGCAATTGAGGTACAGGTAGTAAAAATGAGAGATGGTATTTTAATCCAGGTTCTCAGGCACCAGGGCAAGAGCTCTTCTATGTACCATGCCATCACCTCCTCCTATGTTCTTTTTTGTATTAAAATTATTTGAGTCATATCCACCCACTCTCCCCCATTAGAGTATACGTTCATAAAGGGTAGGGATAACATCCTTAAAGAAAATAAATGTAATAGCTATTAACAGAAGCAAGCAATTATATACAAGTTGTAATTCTTTTAATTTACAAAACCCTTAACAAGAAAGAAATAAACAGAAATGTGTGTGTATGTGTTTTTCTATCTTTGGCTGCCACCTTTGGCACATTTCTCTTTCAATCTTTTTTTCTCTCTCTCTCTTTCTCTCTTTCTGTCTCTGTCGGTCTGTCTCTCTCTCTCTCTCTCTCTCTCTCTCTCTCTCTCTCTTTAGCTCTCTCTCCTTCCTTTCTTTTTCAGTTGCAGTTATGCTGCCTCATGTAGGTGTTTCCTTATTTCCTTGTAAATTTCATATTTGACTTTTCTACTAGTATATCATAATTTATTCATATATTTTCACTAGTTAGACATATTGGTTGTGGTTTTTGTTTGTACTATTGCAAATAGAACAGATAGGTCATTTTTTCAAAAAAAAATTTTGGGGGACAATGAACTACTAATGTTATCACTGAGTGAAATGTTAAAATTAACTCTGAGACTTTTTTATACTCTTGATTTCAAATATTTATCTGGCCTATCTGCTGCAAGCATTTTTCTCACTTCTGATTCTTTCCTTTTAATTGTAGAAATGGTTTTTTGTTGTGTAAAATCACAGAATTTGAGAAATGGAAAGACCCTTAATGGTTACTTATTTCAATACATATGGGAAAGGAAGCCTCATTAGATCATTCCTATCAAGTAATTGTCAAGACTCTGCATGAAAACTTTCAAGAAGAGAGGAGCTGCCACCTCTAGAATCAACAAATTCCAAGTTTTGGACAATAAAAATTGTTAGGAAGTTATTTCTTAACAACAAAACTAAATTGGTATCTGTTCTCCTGGTTCTATTGTCTGGAACCAAAATTAAGTCTAATTCCTCTTCTACGTGACAGTCCTTAAAATAATTAAAAATCACTATCATGTCTCCTCTGAATCTCTTTTGAAGGCTAAATATCCATTGTTTCTTCAATTGATCCTCATAGGATATGGACTCAATGTATATTGAATATTGTATCAATCATTCTCTTGGTTCTACTCATTTTACTTTGCATCAGTTCATACAAATCTTCCTTGGTTTCTCTGAAAGAATCTCAATAGTATTGCATTGCATTCATATGCCCTGAATTTGTTCAGACATTCCCCAGCTGAAGGGCACTGCCTTAGTCACCACTAAAAGAACTTCAAATAAATATTTTTATAAATTTTGGTCCTTTTCTTCTTTTGGGTGGCTCATGTCATCCTCAAACAAGGTCCTATAGTTCCAACCAAGGCAGAAAGGCCTCTAGTGTGAGCTTGATCATGTATTGTATACCTGTTATTCCTGGACTGGCCTAGATAAGTTAAAAAAGCTCATCATCATAATGGATGCCCTCCTTTCCAACTTACCAACATTACTCTTAGACTGAGACTTAGACTCTGGTGCCAAGAATTGAGCAAAATGCTTCAGAAGAGGTTTGATGAGGACAGAGTACAGTGGAACTATCACCTCTTTACTGCTATACTTCCTCTGATACTGCCTATGATGGCATTAGTTGTTTTATTTTTGTTTTGTGTTTTGACTTATACAATATACTGCTTATTCATATTAAGTTTATAATTTATTAAAACCCCATATCTTTTTTTTCAGACCAGTGACTACCAAACCATACCTATATATCCACAGAAAAAGCAAGCTTGGTGAGGTTGAGCTTTTGCTTAAGTGAAACACTTTGCTTTTATCCCTTTTGAATTTTATTAGATTCAGGACAATGCTCTGCACTACTGGGATCTTTTTCTAATATTGATTCTGTCATCTAACATGTTAGCTATCTCTCATAGCTTTGGGTTACCTATAATTTTTATGAGCAAAATATCTGTGCCTTAATACAAGTCATTGATTAAAATTTTAAATGGCATAGGGCCAAGCACAGATTCACGGAGTGCTTCACTGGAAACCTATCATCCTGACATTGAATCATTAACGACCACAATACTCCTTGAATCTGGCCATACAATCTGTTTTGAATACAACTAATATTGTAATCATCTAGTCCACATCTTTCTGTCTTCTCCACAAGAACAGAACTTTCTTAAAAAAAAAAAACTTTGCAAAAGTCCAGGTAAACTATATCCATACCATTCCATCATCTACTAGTTAATTAATCCTGTCAAGTAGGAAATGAATTTACTCTAGCATGATCTGTTATTGATAGTTATGATGGCTCTTTCTAATCAACATTCCCCATTATAAAATTTTAATAACTATTTCTTTAATGATCCATTCTAGAATTTCCCCAGGAATTAAAGTCAAGCTAACTGTGCTATATTTTAAAGACTGTTGTTTTTTTTTTTTTTAATTGGAACATTTATTTTCTATTTTTTTTACTATTATTCCCATTTTCCATACTCTTTCAAATGTGATAGTGTCATATCAAATATAAGGTTTCAGAAGTCAAATCTGCTTGTCCTTTTAGGACTAGAAGATGTTTCTCAGAGCCAAAAGATCTGAACTAATCAAGAGCAACAAGGTTCTGTCTTACTATCTCCTTACTTATTCTGGGTATCAACTCCCTATTACTCATTTTTTGTTCCATGATTTCCCGTGCAAAGGTGATTCTCCTTGGCAAAGAAAACAGAAAAAAAAGTAAGAATTAAGCAGCCCTGCAGTCTCGCTTTTGTCAGTTTTCATTGTCACACTCACTCCAATAAAGGTCCTATCCATTTCCCCTCCAAATATCCCTTTTTGTTGTTTTTGGGTCTCCTTGTCAAATTCAGCTCATTCTGAGTTTGAGCACTCCTGATACCATTTCTACATGACCATGTCATGCTCTTATAACCTTTTTGGTTACCTCTTTTCTTCTATCTTCAGTACATTTCTTTTTAAAATCTTAATTGGTTGTTGTGTCCCCTTTGTATCCATTTCACTTCCTTCATAAAACCTCATTTCCCCTACCCATTGGAATTGCTTGCCTTTCTGTTTTCAGAATTTCTTAAGCATCTCCCATTCCTCCTGGCCTGACTTCCCTGCAGCATTTAAGACCATGCGGTACTACCTGCTGGTTCTCTTGGATCATCTCACATTGACACCTTAGATTAGTTTTAGATCTACAATTTTTGAACTTAAAAAAAAATAACTTGGCATCTCCCAGTGCCTAAGACAATGTCCTGCACGCAGTCATGATCAATAAATGTTTGTTGATATAAGTGTTATGTTTCAAATGGCTACAGGTAGGCCCTGATTAATCACATTGGTAGACATTGTGATGGGAACTGTGGCAATACAGAAAAGAGATATGATATGATCTTTGGCCTAAATGTACTTATAATACTTACTACTGATTTCTTCTTCATTAATACTTAGACAGATCTTTGATACAACCACTTTTGGCACTCCTTTCATAATCACAAACCATGACCTCTCTATGCTTTCTCATAGAGACAATTTGTATTTTTAACAATTTCAGAAGTTATTGCCAATCTCCCTCTGCTCCCTTCCTTCTAAAACATGATCACATTGAGGCAAGCCTTCTGGTGGTTAGGCTTTCTACATATAAATAGGGTGGAAGTTAGACAACAAATCACAATCTGCAGCTGGTCTTATCTAGTGGCAAGAACTGTTAGAGCTTAGATATAGCTTGGCAGAACCCTAAGAACCTTCAAGTTCTTGGAACATTAGGTTAGTACTTCAGTGGAAGTTCTATTTAATTGAAGTTAATTAATCAGGCGTAATTTTTATGCTTAAAAAATTTGAGCCTGCTCAAAGGCATTCATTAGGCACTTACCAGTTACATCTAACACAGCACTCCATGATGTCTCCCCACTTGAACTTGTAGCCACACATGTGTAAGTTCCAGTATCAGAAATCTGTGACGCAAAAAAAGGGTAGTACAAAATATTTCAAAGCAACTTTTCCAGATAAATATTACATTTCAATTGAGGTAATATTTAATTCCTTAAATAAAAAAAAAACAAATGTTTGACAGCCTGTTGTAAGGTAAACAATAAGACAAAAGAAGTGCAAATAAATTTTCAGTTACCAAATTTTAAAGTTTGGTTTCATATTTCTGAAATTGATTTTTTAAATAATATGGTAAAACCATATAATGATTCACCTTACCCCACCACATAGTCTGTTATGCTATAACATAACAATCTCTACTTATATAGTAATTCTGTCTTTACCCGTATGCCTATCTGCCTACATCTTTAACTATCTCTGTATTTCTTTTCTTTCTTCTTTCTCACTATACATGGCTATTATCCTCATCTCCTAATATCAATATGCAAGGAAAATTCATAGTGTCACATTTAAAAATTCAGAATAATATTTTCTCAGAATATTTAGGAACATGAGCTGATACCAGAAATTATTTCAATAAACCTGCAAATGAAATTATATGCCTCAAACAAATTATAATTGAGAGACTATGATATAGACTTGGGCACATAAGCAATAAACAAGTAGATATACCATTTCTTTCTTTTTTTGTTATTTGTTACTTTCTATTTTCTCTAACCACATGGAAATGTGTGAAGAATGAAGTAAAGAGGAAGTAAAGAGGTGGGGGAAAGGGAGCAAAATTTTTTTGCTTGAAAAACCACTAGTTCTCTTAAGAATTCAAACTCCATCTCCAGACCTAGGCAATCCAACTGTGGCCTCTGCCTCCCTCTGAGCCTGAATGTGTCAGCCTGAATCCAGGCCACTCACCTCAGGTCTGTTTGCTCTGGAGATTTCTCTGGCTCTCTGGAAGTCTTTTCTGAACCTGGTTCAAATTAAACTGCCAGCTCTTGTCTCTTGATTGTACTTCTTCAGGCCACACTGTTGGCTGATCCTGTCTATTGTGAGATAGGCCTTCTGAATCTTTTGGGACACAGGGTGGACCTTGAGGGAAGGCCTGGAACTTAGCTCTCTTAAAGGATCTTTCTCAAGCCACTAATATTTGTCTGGACTCATTCCTCACTGGTTAGCACACTCTCTTCCCATTGTACTCTCTTTATCCCATTGATTCTGAATCGTTGGCTGGTCAAGTATAAATTTGATTATCCCCAACTGCATGCTCCCTCACTCCCAAACTCCTCAAAACTACTCCTCCCTTCAAATTTCTCAATACAGATCTAACTACTTTCTCCACTGTGCTTTCTGGAATTCCTGCTCAATAATTTAATAATTTCCTTTATCTCATATTGTTTCCTTTTTTGTTTCTTCCATCTTCTGGAGCTTAATGAGACATTGCAAAACAGGCTGCCCTTTCTAGTACTAGTTAACTTTCATCTATATCTTTAACTCGCTGGTTGAAGTCAGGGCAGTTAGAATTCACTGCTACTATCAGACTCTCTACCACCACCACCACTACTCAGCAATCTCTGCTGGAAAACAAACATACAAACAAACATTTAAGTACCTACTATGTACCAGGCACTATGCTAAGTAACATAATTTTCACTACCAAGCTGACAGTCTGTTTCTCCTCTCTGGCTTCTGCCCTCACATTAGGAAACTAATATTCGAAACCTCTTCATTCTTCCTCAGGCCTCCTAGTTCTATTTCTCCCTCCACCCTCTCAGCTGAAAACCTTGACTTATACTTCATAGAAAAATTGAGGCAACTGGATGAGACATTTTTCTTCTTCCTTCTTCATCTTTCCCTAATATTTCTTCTCCATTATCTTTCAGGAAGAAATGCTTCTACATGCATCGCTGATTCAATTCCTTCTCATATACCACAGCAGATTGTTCCCTTTATTATCCCCATTCTCTCTAATGTTTAGTCTTTTATCTACTAACTTCTTCTATGTTATTTACAAAAATATCCATAGCTCCCTCCTTTAAAAAATAAAAAGAAACAATCACTTTGTCCTACCATCCCTGCTAGCTATCATTCTATATTTCTAATCATCTTCTTGCCTAAACCCATTGAGAAACATTTGATTAACTTGCTTAATTTGATTGAGAAATATTAGCAAACACTATTTACAATTAATGCTGCCATTTCATCTCCTCTATCAGTTTTAAACCTTGTGCATTCTGATTTTTGACCTCATCATTTGATGAAATCACCCTCTCCAAAGTCACCAAAGATTTTTTTTTTTACCAATGATCTTTTAATGGGCAAATTTAATGGTCTTTTCTCAATTCTCATCTTCCTTGACCTCTCCACTGTCTTTGACGTTGTTGGCTACCCTTTTCTCTTGAATATTCTCTCCTTTCTAGGTTTTTATGACATTGCTTTCGCCTAGTTTTCCTCCTACCTGTCTGATTGTTCTTTCTTGGTCTCCTTTGCTGGATCTTCATCCCAGTCATATCTACTCATGCCAGATATCCCCCAAGGCTCCATCCCAGTCCTTTTTCTCCCTCTCTTATCTTGCTTAACGATCTTAGATTCTATAGGCCCTATGTATCTAATTTTCAGACCTATGTAACTTACTCTAACCTCTCTCCTGGGTTACAGTCTTGCATCACCAATGGCCTTTCACACACTTTAAATTGGATGTCCTTTAAGAATCTCTGACTCAGTATGTCCAAAGCAGGCCTCACTTTCTTTTACTCCAAACCCTCTTCTCTTCCTCACTTGCCTGTTACCACTTGAGGACATCATGATCCTCCCAGTCATCGAGGCTCAAATGTGGATGTCATATGTGACTCCTCTCTCATATTCATGCCGTAGAGCTAATCTGTTTCCAAGTCTTGTCATTCCAACTTTCACAGCACCTCTCATTTGTGTCTCCTTCTCTTCATTCACACAGCCGCCACACTGTCTCTCTGCTTCAAGTGTCTCTCCACTCCACTCCGTGGTTCAAATGTTCTTCCTAAAATGCAGGCTGATCAGGACATTCCACTCTTGTTCAATAAACTCTAGTGGCTTCCAATTAACTCCAGGAACAAATGTAAAATCCTTTGTTTGACTTCTAAAGCTCTTCAAAACCTGGTCTCTTACTGCTTTTCCAGTCTTCTTTCATTCTCTTTACCCCATGTATTCTACAATTCAATGTCTAAACAATACTATATCTCCCAACATTGGGCATTTTTACTTATTGTCCTCTATGCCTAAAACTCTCTCTTCCTCCTCATTTCTGCCTCCTCACTTTCTTTAATTAACAGACAAAATCCCACCTTCTATAAGAAACCTCACCCAGTTCTCCTAAATCTTAGTGCCTTCCTTCTAAAACTATTTCCAATTTACCTTGTACATTTTTACACAGTTGTTTGTATGTTATCTCTCTCAATAGACTGGGAGCTACTTGAAAGTAGGAAATGTCTTTTGCCTTTCTCTGCACCCTTAGCACTCAGCACAGTGCCTAGCACGTAGTAGGCGGGTAATAAATATTTGTTGTGGAGGAACAATAACAGCTGAGGTATTTAGATAGCTCAGCCATCTGTCAAGTTGCTCTATATGAAAGGGAGTGGAAGTGTATGTGTGTTAGCATGTATGCATACTCAGATATATGCATATGTGTATGTACACATGCACACAAGATCCTGTAAGGAGCAGTGAATTCTGAATCCCCAAACCACAACCTGAGAGTCAAGAATACACAAACACACACGGATATGGATACATACAAATAAATAAATACACACTCACAGATACACACACAGATATTTTATTATACACCTAATTACATGTATATCTGATACACAGATGTTATTAATTTCTGCCAAATATTTTATATATGCACACATATATGATATGCAGATTTTTATTCATTTCTGCCATATAGTTTGAGATATATAAATAAATAAGGTCTATATTTCTTTCTATCTATCAATCTGTCTACCTCTATTTCCAATTATATGGAAGAAATGAATAAAACCAGATCAGAGAGATATAGTTTCCCAACATAAATTCAGAGAAATTTTCAGTTGAAAGAAACATTGGAAGTTATCTAGGGTAAATTCTTCAACATATTATGCTCTTAAGCCTTTAAGAAAAAACCCAAAACAAAAACTTTCTCAATCTCACTGATAGTTTAAACATTATTTTATTTGTTTCACTTAAGAGATTCCTTGTATAATTTTCTATTTATGAGTTGTGCCATTTTATACTCCAAAGAGGATAAAGCTAAGGAAAGAAGGAAAGTGAAAGGGAAAGGAGAAAGAGAAAGATACACCCACCAGAATGCAGAAATTCAGAGAATACCAAGAAGATAAGGTTTTCTCAAATGAGCAATGCAAAGCAGTAGAAGAAAACAACAGAAGGGGAAAGACAAGGATATCTTCAAGAAAAAGATATTAAGAGAACATTTTATGCAAAAATGGGCGTGATAAAAAACAAAAATGGTAAGGACTTAAAGGAAGCAGAAGAAATTAAGAGAATATAAGAATAATACAAGAAACATCTTAACATTTCTGATAAGTAGGATGATGTGGTTACTGATCTAGAGAAAGACATCCTGAAAACTGAAGTCAAGTGAGCCTTGGGAAGCACTGTTAACAGTAAGGCTAGTGGAGGTGATGATGATGCTGTTAAAGTGCTGCACTCAATATGCCAGCAAATTTGGAAAACTCAACAGTGGCCACTGAATTGGAAAAAATCAATTTATATCTCAATCCTAAAGAAGGGCAATGCTGACAAATGTTTAAATTACATAGCAATTGTACTCATACACAAGTAAGATTATGCTTAAAATTCTATAAGCTAGGCTTCAGCAATGATGTGAACTGAGAATTATTAGAAAAGTGGGCTGAGTTTCAAAGAATGAGAGAAACTAGAGACCAAATTGCCAACATTTATTCACTATGAGGTTAAGCAAGGGAGCTCAAAAAAAAAATCTACTTCTGATTTCATTGACTACACTAAAGACTTCAACGGTGGAGATCACAACAAATGTGGCAAGTCCTCAAAGGGATGGGAGTACCAGATCATA